ACAATCAATAGCCGCCAACCGAGAACTTCACACCGACACCCAACACTGATTAAGTCGGCTAGTCTTAAGATATCTCACCTATTGGTTCTCTGAATGAGTTAAAACTCGGTCAACCTGGCGAACTATTGATTTAACCCGACGAAGCTTTTGTGTGAAAAGCCGAAAGTTGCTCGGCAATAAACCCGTCGATTTTCTTCCGAACCTCTTTGAAACGGTGATTATTCAATCGGTCGCAAGCATTTTCCGAGAATCCAGTTATTTTTGTTGTGCACTTCATGTTTGATCTGCCGAGGGCGGTGTAATCAATCGGGGGCATAGTAAATCTCTCGTCCCTAATGCTCTCGGAAAATGAGCTGACGTTCGAGGGCATTTTAAGGAAAAATGGATGTCTTCAAAAACCGGAATTTCCACTAAAAAGCAGAAATTTTTGGGTCTGCCAAACTAGATTTGAATATTCGCTGATATCTCACGCAAGTTACCCCTTCTAAGAAAGCAGTTTCATGAATACGGTATGCTCATAACAACTCACTGTTTTAGTCCTTCGTTCTTTTCGATTTCAGTCGTCTCTGTTCTCTCGTCTTTGATTAAAAGTTTTGTTTCAGTCGACAGTGGAAAGTCTGGAGTTTTGCGCTCTTCATTTTTCCTATGGCCTGCTTCTTGGGGCCCATTACGATCATTTTCTACAGTCTCCATTGTTGGTTCTGATGGTCTCATTGATTTACCTGATTCTGTCGAACGGACCAACTGTGTGTATAAAGGCGTTGGGTCATCGGGTCTATTCAGTGAGTTCGACCGATACGTGGGATCCGATTCTGGTGAACACGTCGCACGTTGGAGCTGTTGAGTAAATTCTGTGTCTGCTCGTAGTTCATTCAACAGTGCGCACAACAAGTCTGTGCAAATGGTGCGTTGCACTTTGCTCTTTGTTTCCGATCTCAGCTGGTCTTCGTCAAGCCGTTGACTCTGTTCTGGAACTGGAACACTGTAATCAAACGGTTAACTGTGAGCAACCCATTACTTGGTGGCAGTGAGTAGACTTAGAACTCAGGTTCAGCAAATAAAGTCCTGAAAAGCCTAGGAGTACCGTTCGGCTGTTTCGCTCTTACCAGGAATACTCGGCAGTGGGCAGCTAATGAGCATGTTAGAAAGGTTATCGCCATAACATTGCCATAACAACGCCATATCATTCCTACCCAGAAGGCTGAATCTCTCCAGAAGTCGATCCTGTGTGAACTGTTCAAAGGAACAACTGTGCTGTGATTTTTGTGTTCTTAAGCAAAAACTATTCGCCGGAGAACACCATTGACATGCAGATGAAAGTTGACTGCAGATTTCCACTGCGATTTTGGCATTTATGCGGCTGTTCGGCATAACTTGCTGCTTCATCCAGAGCCTTTTGTGGCCCGTCCACATCAAACAGCTTATGCTTTTCGAGTACAGAGCTTGGAGCACATAAACCTTATGCCTCAACTCATGGAGTTAACTCGGGCTAAGTTGTGGCTGCACTTTGTATTACGTAACCGAACTCTTCCATATAAGATCAAGACGTGGCATGACATCCAACACACACACATACACATGGCGCAAAGCACCATTTATCTGGTGTGCTTTAAACCAATTTCGCTGAAAACGAGCTGCGCTAGGATGCAAGGACCGTTTCTTTGATAGATTGGAGCCCTTTGTATTACGTACCCGAACTCTTCCATATAAGATCAAGACGTGGCATGACATCCAACACACACACACACACATGGCGCAAAGCACCATTTATCTGGTGTGCTTTAAACCAATTTCGCTGAAAACGAGCTGCGCTAGGATGCAAGGACCGTTTCTTTGATAGATTGGAGACGGCGGAACTTGAATGCTCTAACCAAACATTCATCTGCTGAAATGTTGCCTTTCCAAGATGTCAGGTCTCGTTTCTTGAGCGTCTATTCACTGAAACATCAACTAAGTGTTCTTAACAAACACAGAACTGTGGTGTGCTTGATCCCCACCGGATCACTTCGGCACACGAGATGAAGAGATAGTCAATCTATGCTGGAAAGCCAAGAAGCACTGTACAGCTGTTTCATCCCTATTGGGAATCATCAGCAGTGCGCACGTATCTCACGAAACTCCGAAGAGTCTCAAACCCGCGACCTCCCGGCTAGTAGTTTGAACACTTAACCGTTCGGCCACGAGTGGCTGATCAGCATTGTGATTAACTCACACTTAGACAGGATATAGCGCCGCTCATCCTTCATTCACGGGATCCACATCACGCGGTCACACGTGTTGACTGGCTCCTCGAGCAACGACTTCTCAGATNATGCGCACTGCTGATGATTCCCAATAAGGATGAAACAGTTGTACAGTGCTTCTCGGCTTTTCAGCATAGATTGGCTTCACTTGCAGGATGAAAGAACCACAAAAATCCCAAACCTCCTCACTACCAACATGAAGAGATAGTCCCTTTGCTTTTGATACTGTAAGTGGCTGCATTTGGCTCCACATCGAAAACGGGTTTCGGATGTAACTTCAATACGTTCTCAGATGGTCACGTGCGGTTACTTGTCACGGCAAGCAAGTGCCCAGAACTATGGGAAAAACGAGTCAAAAATTCATTCTGGTTTCAAAAGTAGACAGCACTTTCAGGGCGTTTGAGACGTGGGAATACTGGCTTAGTTCTAACTATTTAAGCTGCCAACTGCGGATGATCCATTCAATAGAACAAGATTAAAGCTGTCCAAAAAGCAAACTGACGTGGCTGAATGCAGGGTGTGTTGTCCACGAAAGTCTGGTTTACTCTTCAGCCTCACTGCAAGTTTCCAAAAAGGACACTTATTTTAGTTGCATCACAAACCAGTATCCCTTCATCATGTTTTCATAGGACCTATTTTGATAGACAAGTGCCAGCAGGCACTGTGCTTCTCAAAGCACCATTAATTCACCAACCGTTGGTACACGTCAGAAAATGTTCCCGCGATTCACTGTCACGTCCCTAAAAACGGTCTCAGCATGAACGGACCACTTTTTCGTCATAGAAACGATCAAAAACTGCTTTTAACGTGTATCTGGCGAGCGTCCATGCTGAGACTAATACACATATAGAAATCGTCAAATAGGATATACATGTATATATATAAAGTACCCATATCACGTGAATCCAGTCCAGTTCAACGCTTCCAGGTTCGTCATAGAAACGATCAAAAACTGCTTTTCACGTATATCTGGCGAGCGTCCATGCCACACATATAGAAATCATCAAATAGGATATACACGAATATATATAAAGTACCCATGTCACGTGAATCCAGTCCAGTTCAACCCTTGCAGGCTGGCCTCCATCTTCAGGGTTTTCGTGGCTTGTATAGATAACCGAATTGGACAGATCGTGACAAATACACACATCGGCATATCAACTGGGTTTTCACTGGAGACTCAACTGAATCTCTCGTTTATGACCTTCTTCAAGTGAATATGCTGCGCAAGGACCACCTCATGTTTCATTTGGCACGTTTTTGGGGACTGCACCTATTTTACGAGCTCGATGAAGAGCAAAACCGGTCGTGGGCTGTCGAAGAGTTTTCGGCAACGTTGTGAGTAGTTTCTTTTGTGAAAACAGCTGACAACTGTCAACATTTCCGTCCAGTATAACCTGGACTCTAAAAACGTGTACATATAATTTTTATGCACCAGAGAGCAAAGGTAATAGATACGACGTTATTACCATCAATAGATATCTGTTGATCTCAGTGAGAATACATCCAAACAGGAGAGCTCTTTTGTTCGATTTTAGTCTGCTCATTTCTGGACTGGAAGCGAGAGCAAGTCCTCAAAGTAACTGTTGTCACAATACGGCAAAGTGATTACCTGTCAACAAATCGATGATATATCCTTCTCAAGTTGTCAGAGGTCAATTCGTTGTCTCCCAGAATTTGAGCCGAAATGGTGAGGTGCAATAAATCTGGAGAAGGGCATTGCGGTGGACTGATTGAATCAGATCGTTGGCTCAGTTGGTCGCAGGGCTGGAACAAGATAACGGGCAATTTCACCGATTCTTTCAATGTTTTGAGAGGAAAATACAGTAGAATTTCAAAATCAACTTCGTTCAAGGGGCTTTGCGCAAAACCTACAGCCTGTTTATATAATCTGAATGATAACCCGTACTGTCGTGGAAAAAGTGCGGAGATGGAATGCCAAGTTGTGGCAAATCACGTATTCCGTGACTGTATGACTCTTTCATATGATGACCAGTGTAAATGCAGTGCTCTAAGGCACTGTCATGTCTGGCCTGACCACGATTCCTTCGCTGTTGTCCAAAGTATCACCTCGCATGGTCCCAGACGTAGCGCATCAGGATTTCCCAGCTGATCCAAAGGCTATCCAGTTCAGAATATAACTACAACGGAAACTTTATATCAGCTGTCATGAGATAATATCGACCGAATCCACTTACTTGTCACAGCAGGGTGGACAAACGTAAATAGTCGTTACTGGTGCGTTCCCTCTCTTCTACATATTTTCCTCTGTATGGTGGGTGTATCATGGGTTCACCTCCCTGAGAACTGATAGTTCATGTTGCTTCACATCGCAACTAGTTCCAACATTTGTTTGTCGCCTGGCTTAGACATCGTGAAATCAGTCCCCAGACCCTCTCGGCCACTTGTTTTGACAACTTTTGGCGTTTGTAGCCTGAAAAAAAACTCGGGCTGAAAGCCTCTTCCGCCTCCATTTATTGAAATCAGAAAACGAGAACTGACCTCTAGGTTGGTTTCCCATCGCTTGTGGTTGCACAAGCCTGGTAAACCGAAAGACTTTATAGCTGTTTTGCCGATGTTCTCACTGTTTCAACTCATAGAACGGGAAAATATTTACCTGGATGGGCTGTTTGCTGCTCGTTTAGCAATGTCCATGAAGTTATTCTACCAGTCGAATGAGGACCACTCATGGCACATCAAAAGTACGAAGAGATTGTAGCCCTACAGCTTTGAAAGAGAGTTCCATAGCACCTTGTCGCAGTGGGCTAAAAGCCTGTGATGCTGTTATGTTTATCAGAGTTTAAAATCGCTTAAATTTATGGCTTCTGAAACCCACTCTGGTAGTAGTTTTGGACTCAAATAGGGGATCGAACGCAAAGGTAAACGCTCGTTGTAGTTGCGCTTTAGCTATTGGCTGTTTCTACGTTACGTCAACATCTGAAACAAGCGAAGTCGCGTGTTGCTGCTTCCCTCTGTACATCTGGATGGCAGGCGTTGTTCGCACACCTTGCCTAGCCAATGAGAAGCTCTGCTATCCCAGCCAGCGTCAGGCACACTTCTAAACTCAGTTGTCGAAATTCTCTTTTTTTTCAACGCTTCCTGCGATATGGTGAGAGCTGTGTTAGTGGTAGAGTGAAACTAACTACACCAACCACTGGGTCCATGATGACCTTATTCCAAACTGGCAAACAAATATCACCTGATCGATGATATGGCACAGTTCAACTTGCCATCCGACGCCAAACTAAAAGAGTGCAGATGTTTACCACGTACTGCAGAAACGGGGCGAACTCTGAGACAATTGCGGCGATGTTAAATCTGAGGTCAGGTAAGCAAGAACAATGACATAAATGCCATTAGATCACCACAAAAGCCTGAACTGCTCCGCTCGACAATTGAACTAACCGACTGCTACTGCCAAGTCTCGTTCTCAATTCACAACGGAGTACTGCGCCGTTAAATCCGAAACTCCCTCACCCGCCTTCGACAGGCTTTTTCCTAAGGAACTTCTGTCCTCTGTGTAACCTCAGGAGCAAACATCATATGCCTAATCGCTTATAACCAGGAGAAGAGAACCATTCCAACTAACCGAGGCGGACCCTGAAATTTGTTTGACAATCACAGTCGAAGCAAGACACTTTGCCTCGCTTAGTTTAAAACACCCCAAGACAATATAAAAGGGGGACCTGGGATCAACAGGCGGGATTTCGGATGAGAATGGCCCATGAATATCACGGTTCAACAATCTTTCAAGTTGTTGAAAACTGTTCGACAGCCCACGACCGGTTTTGCCCTTCTTGGGGCTCATCAGGTAGGCGCAATCCCCGAGTTTCCATCAATCTTATGTTCTACTTGAACCCAAATTGCACTGTTTTCTAGAAATACACTCACATATGCTGCGATATCTCGAATGTAGTACCAACTGAAACTTGAGGCGGCCTGTATGCAGCACATTCACTTGTAGAATATCATGAACGAGAGATTCAGTTGAGTCTCTCGTGAGAACCAAACTGATTTGCAAATGAGTGTATTTCTAGAAAATCTTTCAAGTAGTTCATCAGTGGCCTGTGTGCAGGTGTCCCACAATCTTGGCTTTCCCAGACATTGAAGTGTGCCAGAATCTTCTAGTTAAATTGTTCTTTTCTTTACATCTGTGCACTAAATAATGAACAAGAAGTTCTAAAATATCGCAAGCTTTTTGTACTTGTGGTCTGGAAATGCGTGAAAGAGCACATTTCCGTACAAATAGTGTCCCCCTGGCGTTCGATCGCCACGACATCACATGACACCTTCGAAGCCTATTCATCCTTTCACATTCACCTTAAAGTAATCAAATAAGTACGTCCGCCCTCTCTGATTTTCTTTAATTTCGTATTTGAGATTATGGTTAGACGGACTCCAGAGGGTTTTCAAAAACCCCGGTATTCGGGTCTCTACAAGTAGTATTGTTCTTCGACCAGTCTACCGAATTCCTCGAAGGTTCCTTTTTGCACAACCCTGCGAAGGGCGGAAGCGAGCCTTGAGAGGTCAACAGTGACTTACCAGCAAAGTATGAAAGCCATTCGTCATTGAACTCTCCCGGAAGGGGAACTCCATGACAGGACTCATCAAGAAATAGAGACATTGTCAGACACTTGCCCACTTGCGCCATCAGTAGTATTCGAGCATCCATGCTGTTGCCTTCAATGCACAGCTCCCGTCTCAACCTCCTCAATAGGAAGTTTGCTGAAGACCCTGTATTTAGGCGTCAGCTACCGCCTCCAGTGCGTAGCTACCTACCCCATCTCCTGAACTCATTAGTGAACGAAAGTGTGGTAGCTAGATCCACTGTACGGCAAGTGTTGATGTGATGGTGATGATGATGATGATGATGATGATGATGATGATGGCGATGATGATATGCTCTATGAGCTGGCTGCAATCCCACTTGAACAACGCAGATTTACAGACGAGGTTTTTACTTGGACGCCTTCGAACGTCTTTTATAATCGATGTCGTACAAATATATGTTTTTTTCCATTTTTTCACTTTCCACACGACAACTTCATATTTTTGAACTGCCACAAAAAGCGTTCTTGCCACACTCTTTTCATCTGAAAACCGTTCCTGGGATTTTGGTGGGCTTCTATTTTATGTCAGTCTTAGAAGACACGCAGGTTACTTCCAATCCCATCAGCCCTAACTACCTTCTCAGAAACGGTGCTTGCTAGTGGAACTCCTGATCAGGTATGAACCTGAGGCATATAAAAGCCAACTATTTTATGCAGGTCAAAGTGCATATAAAGTACAACTTAAGTGGGGGACCGTCAGAAATAGTGGAGCACGTGACTTATCCTATAAAGACCAGGTCCGATACTTACGTGGCCACCTTTGTGTTTGCTCGTTGTAGCTTTTCGATCTGTAATAACAAATTCAAATTTCCTTCTGTCACACTCTTCTTCCCAGGCCTTCAGTTCCTTGTAGTAGTTGATTTCCTTGACCTCATCGAAAAGCTGTAGAATAAAGGAAGAAAGCGTCGTCTATACACTTGAAGAAATTTAACGATCCAGGTTAGCAAATGTACACAGGGATGACGGAAACTTGGGGACTGTGCCTACCTGATTGGCCCCAAAAGTGCCGAGATTGATCATGGGTGGATGAAGAGTTTTATTCAAGCTTGTGAGCAAACGAACACATCCCATTTGCAGTACGTACAGTTTAGCAGGCAATACTTTGCTTATGCACGACCGACGTTCCTCAATCACTGTAGACTTACTTCCCATCTCTGTTGAATAAGCCATACACAATTCCGTTAAAGGACAAAGAAGTTAGTGTTGAACTTTAGCTTTGTCAAGCCCTAAAAGGGCTTTATGTTAGACTGTAGAAATTATGGAATCAATCAATATTTACAACAATCCCTGTCATAAGCTACGGAATGCGAAGCTTAAAGTGGGCCCTGACTTAAACCCTCGCCCGAGATTAGATTCATTTCTTTCCCTTTCTGAGTTTTTCTTTTAGCTAATCAATATATGATGAACCCATTGATTACTTCCTGTGTCACAGCTATCTTTCGCGTCCACTCTTTAGGAAGTTTCATGCAACTTTAAACGTCTTAGCACAAAACGTTTCTGGCGGCTAAGAGGTTAGAGCGCGAATTTACTGACCGCAAGGTTTCGAACCCGACATCTGACCCTTGACCTCCCCTATCTAGGCTTGGGCAGCCCTGGTGCTGCCTGTGGGTGGCACGACAGTTGGGCATCAAAGGGGTGTCACAGCTGAACGATTATTAATTATTGATCTATTGTTGAAAATGGCCATTTGGTCACCAAGACGTCGGATGTCTGCACACCATCAGTTAGTTACCCGACAATATACAGCTAATAACGCTTTCACTAACATTCCCGTAATAAAAATAACGATACTATCAACAATAATGTCAGGGGGGTCGAGTGAAGTGCGGAGCTAGACTGAAGATGCACTGATGAGGAAATTACTAAGAACAAGGACCTCAGACCACTCGAGAACCACTCACCTCACAAGTCATTTCTACCGTTATCCAGCGTGGATCACCCTTGGCGAAAAATTGGACTTCCAGTTGAATCGATTGGCCGGGTTCAATTCGACCAGTATGCGGGGTTACCTGGACAAACTGAAACGAACCGGTGGTACCATTGGCAAAGCGAATGAAGCAGAAAAAAATACACTATTTAAATCCACATGACAATCACTACTGCTGTGTAGAAATGGAGGAATATGCAGCCAAAGTGCCAAGCAATCGATAGATCTCTGGGCTTGAGTTCGCGACATCTTCCTGTGTGGCCAAGTATCGGATTAAATGAGCCTTCTATAATCCTGGCCCATATCACACACGTGCCCTTGAACAACTTTTCAACTTTTTCAGTACACACTTGGGTTCGAGTCTGTTGGCATTAAAAATCCAGTCCGTATCAGGCGACACTACAAGATATGGCTGCCAATCGATGTCAGTGGCGTTCTTGTTGTCAGTTTCTATCCAGATTGCCTGAGTGAATGTCTGGAGGTGCAGGCACCTCGAAATGATTGTGTTAAGCTAGCACTAAGTCCCTCCCCCGTCCACCTTCACTCTTTTCTTCGCCATAAGTCTTTCAAATAAACCATGGTTGTACGGCAGTGAAGCANATGATGATAATGATGATGATGATGATGATGATGATGATGATGATGATGATGATGATGACGATGATGATGATGATAATGATGATGATGGTCGCTCTCTAGATCATGAGGTTAATGGAAACTCTGGGACTGAGCCTACCTGATGAGCCACAAAAAGGGCGCAACCGGTCGTGGGCTATCGAAGAATTTTCAGCGACCTTGTGAGTAGTTTCCTTTATGAAAATAAGTAGGTTTTGTTCAGCGGCTCACATAATGGGCACGAAATTGTACCAAGCCGTCTCGTGTTTAGCGACTCCGCTGAATTTGTCCGACGGCTATATCTATGAGGAAAATCTCTCAATAGTTGGGTAGTATGTATAAGAACACATCTACACAATGAGTATATTTTTGTTACCTCCTGCTGCGAGATGGCTGAAGCGGTTAGAGCGCGAATTTACTGACCGCAAGGTCCGTGGTTCAAACCCGACCCCTGCCTTTCGACTTCTCTTGTCTAGGCAGTATCCCAGCCCTCGTGCCTACCTAGGGTGGCATGACAGTCAGGCACCGAAAGGGTGCTGAATGTTTTTGATGACTCTGATGAAAGCTGATGGTGAAATATAGTATACGCGGATGGCAACAGCAACAGTGCCAGCTATAAATGGTGTGCAGGTCATATATTGGTACCAGCTTCTACAGGTTTGTTCACGCATTTAGAATAGCTGAACTATACAGCTTTCCACCGCCAGACCGACCACGTGACGATCCTAACCATAACTGTTCTTCTTGGAGATGGTTTACACGGAACAAGACAAAACGGTAGATTTGGCAGATAAATTATGTCGAAACACTTTTGAATAGCTCAGTGTGAAATGCTCCGTTCCGCGTGATGACTGTTTCTCAGCCTTGTTGTATGTGTGTCACAACGCCCGCAATCTTTTCCAAAGTGCAAATGACCGTTTTGCCTGCTTCGGGTACCGCATGAGAACTTTTTGTGAATGCAGGAATCGTTATGCATGATGCTGCACCGTGAAAATCTCCGCTGTAGCTGGTGTGATCGGAACGGATAGAATGCTGAATCTCGCTACTGGCTTGGCCTGTGGAAATCTCAGCAAAAGAAACAAAATCTTGGTAAGGATGGCCACAGAAGAGTCCGTTAAACATCCATTGAGCATCGATGAGACCTGAATATATCTCAGAAGAACAGAACAGGTAACGAGGGACGCAGTCTCCTGTGAGATGGCTCAGTGGTAAGAGGGCGAATTTACTGACCACGAGGTCTGTGGTTCGAAGCCGACCTCTGCCTTGCGACTTCTCTAATCTAGTCTTGCGCGACTTGGCAGTAATCCAGCCTTCCTGCCTCCTTCGGGTGGCATGGCAGTCAGGCACCGAAAGGAGCATCAGTGAGACCAGAATAGACCTCGGAAGAACAGAATAGCCAACAAGATGGGTTTCACCAGAAAGGGATTTTGACCACAACAAAACGCAAAACAGAGCGGTGCACTTTCCAATCTTCCCAAAGTACTGCAAAAAACGGTATTATTCGTGGATCGCTCTCTGCTATTTTGCTATTAAAATGCTACCTATGTGGAATTCGGTAGGGATGTCCTGGAAGTACTTAATCCGCCTTGAGAAATTTGTATGCATGGGTGGGAATTTCCAGTTTGATACGAAAAACAAAAACTTAGTTTCAGTTTAGTATGATGAGCACTTCAGACACTGATTTGATCGTCTTTGCGAAACATTTATAGCCATTTTATCATGTTTCTGTCACAGAGCAAGCAGACTGTCCACTCGACAAGTTTTCGACAAAAAACCAACATAACATATAGAGTTTAAAAATGACCATTCATCAGATTATAATAATTGTTGAAGTAGAAAATGAGATTGCAAATTATTTCTTTCATCTCTCGCCGTCCCAAGGCACTTCTACCTTAAATGTGTACCTGTGGCTGACATCCACGAAAGACATCCCGAGGAGAGCTGNGGATCGCTCTCTGCTATTTTGCTATTAAAATGCTACCTATGTGGATGTCCTGGAAGTACTTAATCCGCCTTGAGAAATTTGTATGCATGGGTGGGAATTTCCAGTTTGATACGAAAAACAAAAACTTAGTTTCAGTTTAGTATGATGAGCACTTCAGACACTGATTTGATCGTCTTTGCGAAACATTTATAGCCATTTTATCATGTTTCTGTCACAGAGCAAGCAGACTGTCCACTCGACAAGTTTTCGACAAAAAACCAACATAACATATAGAGTTTAAAAATGACCATTCATCAGATTATAATAATTGTTGAAGTAGAAAATGAGATTGCAAATTATTTCTTTCATCTCTCTCCGTCCCAAGGCACTTCTATCTTAAATGTGTACCTGTGACTGACATCCACGAAAGACATCCCGAGGAGAGCTGAGGCATCTCCTCTAGCACCAGACCAGTTCGGATGATAAATCTCTTGGTTGAGTAAACGATGGAACGTTGTTGTGTTACCAAGCCATTTACTCCCTAACAATCAGTCTCTGTACAAAACGGTCGGGCAACACGTTTTCATCCACAATGAAATGGAGGTTCTCACTCTCCGTAACAAACGCAGTTCATCATCATCATCATTGTCAGCTCGCTGACAGCCAGCAACCGGTTTTGTCCTTATTTGGGCTCATCAGATGGACGCATTCCTCAAGTATGAGTCAACCTTAGATTCTAATAACCGCGTACTTGTCGTACAGTGATTATAGCTGCCGCAGTTTCGTTTACCGATGGTTTGGGGGGGAGGGGTAGGTAGCTGCGCGTTGCAGTCGGGAGCTGATAAATTGTGCATAAATCCAGCACTGTCAGTGAGCTATCAAGTCGGGGGAGGGGGGATGGAAAAGGAGCTATGCATTGAAGGCAATAGCTTGGATGCATGAGTGCCATTGAGGGCGCGACTGGGCCATGTCTGACAATGTCTCTAACCATTGATATGGCCCGTCTCGAGGTCCTTATCCAGGAAGACCGGCGCAGGTGAGTTTGCTGGTAATGGCCTTCACACTTCGCTGTCATGAAGTGAAACCCAAACTGGCTTAAACAGGCTACTGAGCATAAACCGGCCTCCTCTGTATAAAACATTGGTACCTATGGAAGACTGAAATAGAGCTTGATGAGCCAGTTGAATAAATGTCCTTATAAAGTAAAGATTTGTTATTTTTGATTGCGTTGTGTTGTGGATAACGAATCAAGCATCCCAATGAAGCTACGAAAACCACAAGTACTTGTGCATCTTCGCGATATCGTGTGGACAACCGGAACCGATAGGTCTTCGGGACATCATTCTTCTTTCCAACGCGTTCCTCGCACCGGTAATTCATATGCACGAGGCGTCGAACGCAACATCCTCCGGGGATTTGGAACAAGTGAATGGACTGAGGTGAGAGATACACGGAACAGTTTGGAGTCGAGATCCTGGCAGCGTGCGGTTCATTGTGGAACACCGGTAGGAGCCATTTTTCTTTGACCTGAAGTGAGAAACCGATTTAAGACTTGGATTAGGCAATTAGGTATGTGATTTTAGAGGTCAAGCATGAGATAGAAAACGTCTTTATGGAGAATACTTTGTGACTGTTATAACCGTAGATGATTTTGGGTGTCTTGAGTCGAACTCAACCATGAACAATCATGGTTCTTACAGCTGACAATGATGATGATGATGATGATGATGATGATTATGATGAATTTTTGAGGTAGTCAACATACTATTTGGCGGAGGAACTTGATGTTGGTGAGATCCGCTGCGCCTAACTAGGTAAACCGCAAGAAAAGTCGTTTCTATCGCTAACTGCAATCAAGTTTTCAAAGCATAGAAAGTTTGTATTACATACCTTAGACACGAGACATAGAACAGATCCGGAGAATTTGGAAGTCGTAAGACGGGAAGACGGGGACTGCGATTCACACTACAGCGGCTGATAGCCGAGGCGGTGGAAATTACTAAGCATCACAGCGTGAACAGAATCGAGGGTGTGGGGCTAGCGAGCGTATGGAAAGCGGTCTCAGATAAACGGAGTTGACACGTGACGCTGTGGTTGTCAATCCACTTAGGATCATTAGAAAAACGGGGGATGGGGGTGGAAGCCCCAACCGACCAAAGGTCACAGCATCCCTCTTACACAACTTTCTTTGCACTAGCTCACCCACACAGACTGACAGAAGGTTCAAACGAAGTTCAAGGGGAACCATCAAATGAACTGAACCAGGTGAAATACACCCTAGACTGGACCCAAGCACATGTAGGTTTCCCCAGCGACCCAACATTTGTTCAACCACTCCAACACACTAAAAGCCCTCAGGCGACACCCAACAGAGATTTAGCTTGACTTAGCTGATTGGTTCTCTTTCCGCCTAGTCACTTGACCTGATGAAGCTTTTGTGTCAAAAGGTAATCGTTGCCCATCATTAAATCTACCGATTGTCACCAAACATTTTCGAAAACGACTTGTATTACCTGATTTTTCAACATAATACACGACGACGAAGCTGGATAATCGGGAGAACGAGGATCGTAAGCCTTCACTTCCAATTCCAGGCTCAATGAATCCAAAAACGCCTCCTTCTCGTTTCCACTGCAGGTAACTTCGGCATCACGTATGCAGATGGTGCAGTTTACCTGGCGGACAAGAAAGAAAGAGTCAATACTATACCAGTAAAGTTCTCCCCTCGAGGAAGAAACATATGTAAAAGTCCCCAGACTATATCTCCCAAGGGAGTAAATCCCTCCATTCACCAGAAAAGAGGACATCCATCCGAAAATAGAGGATTTAAACACCTTTTTCAGTGAACGATAGGGTTTTACATTTCAACCGAAGTGAATTGTCAGCTCAGTAATACATTCGTGTGTCTCTAACTGGCACATATTCACATCACGTGATGGGTTTTTCAATGGTCGTCAGTCTGATCAAGCTAATATTATATTTTGGGCGAGATGGCTCAAGTGGTTAGAGCGCAAATTTACTGACTGGAAGGTCCGTGGTTCGAATCTGACCTCCGCCTCTCGACTCCCCTGTCTAGGTTTGGGCAACCTGGCAGTATCCCAGCCCTCGTGCTTCCTTCGAGTGACATGGCAGTTAGGCACCGAAAGGGTGCTACAGCTGAACAATGATTATTATTATTATATTATTATCTAATATTTTAGCTTTCTACCATCAAATGAGACCATCAAACGAAATCGCTCGTAATGTGAGATATTCTTATACGACAAGTTGGAACTCGCTAAACGGTTCGTTATCACGCAGTGTTTTATTCTATCTTCAAGATATCGCAACTTCGAAATGTTCCAAACAATTGTACCACAAGAATGTCCAAGGCTGGATTAGTATGACGAAATGTAACGACACGGTTTATCAGTGATATTCGGTTAATAAATCTGAGTAAATGACATAAAAATTTAAGGGCACCTTCTTCGGGGGTACATCCATAACCTTTGTGTTTTCGCCCTTGCAATGGAATGGGGACGGAAAGAACTCCGTTCTCTAGAATATTTCTCCCAATGAGTGCTTCCTGTTGAAAATTCTTCGAGCGAAGAAGTACCTCGGAACATCGGGATTTACTGGCAGTACAAACTTCGGGCACCACCAGAATGAAGTATGCTTGAAACGAAAACCTCCACCTCGGTACATCGGAATTTACTGGCAGTACAAACCTCGGGCACCACCAGAATGAATGATGCTTGAACCGGAAACCTCTCAGGAAGATATTTGGTGACGGTTGGCTAAAGCCTTCAAATTTGGGCCAACTAGGGTGTTGATCTGGCGTCTGTCGTTAGGCTGTCACCACTCAGCTTTATCAAACTTTCGGCACCTAGCTACCATGCTATACGAGGGAAACATGAGGGTTGCGACGCTGAGCGGAGCGAAGACTGCGTTTGGTACTGAGTGCTTCGTCACACAGGTGCATTAAAAACTACTCCCGTAGGTTTTTCACCGAATAACCTGTGAACGAAAATCTCAGCCTTGGTTAAACAAAGCCTCATTGAAGTTGGCAAACGCAGTGAAACGCTCAGCTACACTCTTGGTGTCCACCCGGTACCTGCATTTAACGCACAGAATGCAGTCAATTCAGATTATATCGTTGCTCATTCTAAATTCATCAAAGCTGCTCGTCAGCCATGAGGTTTTCTCCGCACGCCACTCACACTGTAACTGAACAGAAGTTAGCTCCGTTTCGAATTCAAAGAGGTACACACACACACACAGGGCAAACAGAGATCCAATGAGTTCCCAACTGATTTGAAAAGATGATTTCGATTTTGTATGCAACAGAATAGTCGATGTTGAATGCCTCGTTGTCTCGTAGAAGCCTTCCATTCTCCCGTCTACCTTTAGCGGACGGCTGCAACGTGGACATTTGGATCTAAGGATGTGCATTTTACCAAGAAATCGATATCTTTGACATCCTAGCTCAACACATGAACCTGATTTCTTCTATAAAGAGGATATCTACTATGATTTCATGAACTCTGCTGATCTCGGATAGCTTTAGCACTGACGGTTGGGGAGATTAGCTACGGCTTTCAGTTTTCCGACAAGGCAAGCGGAAGTGGACCCGAGTCCACAGAACGCCTAGATTTCACCCTAGGTCAGAAGCGTTCTTCAAATGCACTGCTCTGATCAGCTACCCATTCGATCTGCGTCTCTGACTGCCTAAGATATGAGCAAAAAGAGAAGTACTGGCGCTGAAACTTTCATTTACCTATTAGACTATTGTGCTGCCCGGATTCCTCTGATAAGGCACCGAACCGCTAGTCCCCGTAGAAACCTATTCCACACGCATTTACTAGTTTTCAATACAAGAGAACTAGGTTTGATTATTCAGTAAGTTGGAACTGGCTTAAGCCGTTGCCTCTCAAAAGTTTGTGCCACTTCGCCCCCGCCTTTCCTCCCTCGAGAGGGTACGCTTCCACGAATGTCGTGATTTTGGTCAGTCTGAGGGGTTCGAGTTCTTCTGGCTGGTTACTGTACTCTGATAACTGCTACCAGTTAACAGGAGTAAAGAATATATCAAAAAGGGGATCGCATTGGTTCACCTCCTTCACTTTATCAGGATCCCACTGTTATTCGAACAAGTTATCAAATTGTAACACAATACTGATTTCAAACTGACCGAGTATCTGTGAGGTAAAATCTTATGCTGATCGTACAATGACACAAAAGTCTGTGGATCAGCTGCGAATTAGTTTGCTGTCCTAATACTGGAACGCCAAAGCATCAGTCCAGCTGCCAACGAGCGTGTCAGACAAATTATGAAGTGTTGATCACACTAAACAGACAATAAGGTCAGGTAAGTCCCTTGCGGTGCTTAGCTGATATGTCACCTGAAAGAAGCACGAGAGCTGGGATGCTGCCAGGTTAGCCAAGCCTGGACAGGGAAAGTCGAGGTGCAGAGGTCCTCGCCTGATGAAACCTGAAAATGGTCAACCAATTTTGTTTGGCGCGGTTTCACTTTACACCTATTCATCCAGTTGACAGTCTCATGTATTTCAGAGTTCATTTTTACTCGTACCTTTAACCTACTGTCCAAAATTCCCCCTACCGGATGAGCGCGCTGTGGATTGATGGATTGTCCTGCAATTATTGGTGGCTATCATGGTTCTATCCTCAGTAATGATACGGAGGTTGTTTTGAAGTTCAACAACCTCGCAACCCAACTGGAGCTGCTGGACAAGTCCCTTCCCTAGTAGTAATATCCCACCGCTTTCCCGCCCACCTTGTCAAGGCAGGATCTGACCACCCACGAAGAAGTTCCCGTAAAGCCATTTTTGTTTGAAACGCATCACGGGAATGTACCAAGGTCGGTTGCAGATGCTCTCCTTGTATATTTTCACTGCTGGTCGTACAGGTTACGTTGCTAGCAAAACCATTTCAGTGGAATTTATTCCGTGTCCCCTGTCAACAAGGTGACTTCATCCAGGTGCATTCACCTAGTTCCTAGAAGATGGCGCGTCATAAATTTCCTGTGCTCGCTTCTAGGACGTGTTGCCAGAATGAGATGACAGCAAGTAACCGTACTGGAGTGTTAGTTTTCAGCAACCTTATGAGTAGTGTATTACACGTCATCGTTCATCGGTGTTTGAACAGCGGTAGACGTTTCGTGTGCTTGTGTGCGGTGCATGAGTTTGCGTGTGAGCGTGTGTGTGCGTGCGTGCTAGCATCAACGCCGTGGCAGCTGGGTAGGCGAAAATGAAGCTGACATAACACAGATGATAACAAGCCCACTGACGTGGGGTACTAGCTCAAATGGTAGAGCGCTCGCTTAGCATGCGAGAGGTACTGGGATCGATGCCCAGGTACTCCAAACCTTTTCCGCGTCCCCTTTAAGTCGATTGCGTGTCCAATGTACAATATGCTATAAACGCTGACCTTGAGGTTGACCCAAGGTTGTCTGTCGTGGCCTGTAAAATTTTCCTTGACCTGGCGCACAAGTCAATTTAGGTTCAGTAGGTTGCTAGGTTCCTGGTGATGAGTTTTTGTGTGATTTTGTGTGCAATTTACAAGAATATCATTGATTCTGTCCATGGAACCCAAACTCGAGAATTCATTTGGAAAAATAAGCTGCCAACGTTGTGTCGACTTCAGAAGGCTGGGACTAAACGCGAATCCTGTTACGTAAATTAAGCATATTATGTTATTATTATTATGTTATTATTATGTTATTATGTTTGATAGTTCCTGTGCTGTGTTTCGTCATTCTCATGACATCTTGGTGAAAAGCATCTAAAGTATACCTTAGTACGTTGTGAGGATAGATAGTTTCCTGGTTTCCGTTTCTAATCCATTATTGTCGAGATCGAAATGTCACGTGATACAATTGTAGGTCAAGCAAGTTAGGTAATTAAATTGGTGAGCCAGACTGACTGCTGGTGGGATTTTTTCAACCATTTGATTCCGTCCCGATGAGGGGTGCAACGTGGACGTGTTAAAACCACAGAACACCTTTTAGATCTGAAACTTGACCTTCTTGTCTACCCGAAATAGTCAGTCATTTAGGCTGCCACTTTACTGTAGCTGACAGCACTGGCGTAGGACATTCTTCGGTAAGCTTCCAGCCAACCGCAGTGAACCTCGATCTTTCACCTGATAGTTTAGAAGCCATGGAAGAAGCTTTGACAGGTCTCTCGACAAGATCTGGTTGTCGGAAAGTTCCCCTGCAGAGGCTATTTCGTCCAAGTAGGTAGCCAGTTTGGTGGGTCCAACTTCAGCCCTGTGGCTTGTATTCGTTGCCAAAACAGGGCTCCATCAAAAGATCAACATGTGTAGTTTAGGAAAACCGATCTGCACGGTAGTCAACGTTTACAAAAATCGACGAATTTAATCTTTTATCGACCACAAGCACTGACTGAGTCAACTTTTTCTCGCAAAGTTCAGTCTCATAGAATCATTGTCGTAATACCAAATACTGATTAACAGAGACAAATTCCTTCAAACGGGAGGCCAACTTATGGAAAAATTAAAATGGAAAAGAGAACAAGACATACTAGATAGGTCTCTGCCTCCAAAGGTCGAAAGTTGAATTCTAGATATCCAAATCCACCGGGCTCTACAATTCCCTCACGGGTAAGGCAACGAAATACTGGTATTCCCCACTCTAATGGGCCCGTCGAATCGCTCCTTTGAGTCGTGATTTCATTGGTGACCGTCTGGAATTGCTTTGTCCCGTCAGAAAATACAAGTGAAGCCACCAGGAATTGCACACGTCGAGCACTTGGATTGCGCAAGGGCAGCCGATACAAACACCCCGATTCCCGGTTCCCTTCCGTTATTTGAATTGGTGGTAGGATGTGACGACGTTGAGCGAAGTGCAAGTAGGGCTGAGTAAGTGGCAGTGTGATCCCGAAAAGCCTAATCTGTAGCAAGGTAGGAACGTTGTATGTTAAGACACGATCGGCATAATTGTGCTCTAGCTTGTATACATTGCTAATGTTCGCTTACTGTTCCAGGAGAAGGCACCATGAATGCCTCTCTCATACGTCTAGGAGTCGCTTACATTGGGGTATACACACTGACTTCGGAATGCTATAAAAACCTGGTGGCATTTACCCAAAAACAGAATGAAAGGTGAACTGTTTCACTGAATACCTACCGGCCATTAAACACTCACTCACAATAACAACCTCACTCGGTAACGCAAGGCAGTTGTGGTACCTGGCTCGGTATGGAGAGCCAGGATCAACCTCACTACTGGCTATTTATCAGTAGTTAATGTTAAATAGAGATTCGCAGTACCGACGCTAACTCCCGCTCCGAGAGTAATGTCAAGGATCTAAATATTGCGTTCCAGTCACTTCAAGTTTATTAGGACTTCCCTCTATTGTCACTAGTACATCTAGTTACCGGGTGGAAAACACTTTCTAAAGATTGGAATTTCTGGTTAGGCATCCCGAATCTCCGTTTGCAGAAACCCTCTAAATTTTCTGCCGCAGAGGCACCTTTTGTAAGGAAACGATATCAGAAATCAATGCTAGTGGGTTGATCAATGGGCTTGTTTGTCTGATAGCATTCTTCTTGATAAACGAGTGGGGTTTTACTGTGCTCCAATTTTTGGACCACAGAACGGTAATGGACAATGGTTATAGATACAAACAACTCAGATGCGCTTCTTGGTTGTTGATTTTTGTTGAGTTTGGTAGTCTGGTTGAAAATCTTCACCCATGATCCAGAAGACACAGTTGGTAGACGGTTTAATGTGCACTTCATCCTATTTCGCTTGTTTTTTTAGATGGTCTCTGTAGGGTATTTATCATGTACACCTTGAATCTGAGTGGCACGTCGAATATGTCGTTTCCGACAGTCACGCTCTTCTTGGCTGACTGGTTCAGCTTCTTGTTGCATCTTGGTGTGTGTATTGCACAAAAGTCACTCCACGAATAACTCATTATGACAGGAATAGTAAATTACCATTGTAAACACAGGAAACAATCAGTAGCAGAGGAAGTTTCCACTCAACATCAAAATAATCAGGTCCCCCTACCAGGAACTAAAAGTCTGTAATCCAATTAAAAAGCAGCCAATAGGACTGGCATCAATAGGCTGTTTTGAATGCACTATTCCTAACAGATACGTATTTCAAGAACATATATCCAACGTTTTGGAGGATAACATGATCTGAGCTGTGACCTAGTTAGGTGAGGTCAACTGTAAACGTATGGCGACAGACAAACTCGTCCGGTCCAAGTGTTTGGGTCAATCTGGATGAGAAACTACGGTGTTGAGACGAAGTAACTTACCGAATCCGAACTGACAACAATGTCATGGTAAAAAACGCTACTGATATGAAGCGACATCCCACCCATTTGGCTTCCTATACGGTGCGCAGCTGAAACTAGCTGACTAGATTAGACGTCACTTCACACACAGTTTGAAGCTACGCTGTACCGAAAACTATTGGACTTGGATGACGTACTTTGATTTCTCGCCCACCGTTTATTTTCATCAAGACCGGAAGATGATCAGCTCCAGGAAGTTTATGACGGTAGGTTACCAGGACGTGCCTCGTTTCCCCTGAATGAAGTCGAAATTTCCTCGGTGAGATATCGAATAGTCGATCGTTTTCCACCCTTCGCTGAAAGAAAACATACAGTGGGAAATACACTACTATTAGTTTAATTGCCCGTTTCGTCTCTCACAACCCCTTACGATTGAACCTGATTTGGCCTCCTAGCGTAAACTACCTCATCATTCTAGCTACTTGTGAGTAGTCAAATCACAATTTAAAAACCAACGTTTCGATTACCATAAGCCAGAAAACACCGTTAGTAAGGTGGATCGTCTCTCAGCTTTTGAATGACTATAGTCCACGTCGACTTCATAATTTACTGAAAAAAGCGACAGGTACCGGTCTCTCAACATCGCTGACGTGAGTGGGTCATGTCCATTTCAGTCAGGACTGCTTG